TTCCATAATACTAAACTTTGATGGGAGATGCAGAGGGAATCCTGGACAATCAGGGGTTGGGGGTCTCTTCAGGGATGAGAATGGGGTTGTTTCTGCCATGTTCTCAGGCCCAATTGGAGTGGGTGACTCTCTCCGAGCCGAGATCCATGCGGTTATGGAAGGAATTCAGAAAGCCAGAGAGATGAATATCAAAAAACTTGTAATTGAAGGGGACTCGGAGGTGGTGGTTGGATGGCTAAATAAAGACTACAGTGGCTTATGGAATTACAGTAATACGAGAAGGAAATTTAGATGGTTGGCTCGGGAAATGGAGGTTAAGATTAGTTGGGTTAAAAGATCAGCTAATTCTTTTGCTGATGGGTTAGCTAAACAAGGGGTGGTGAGGGAGTCAATGTTCTGGGCACAGTTGTAATTATTTTTCTGTTTCTCCTTTTCTTTCTCTCTTTCTTTTTCCTTCTTTTGGGGCTCATGGCATAGCTAGAAGATAAAAAAGTTTGGCTTCCTCTTTGTAAGTATCATTGAAAAGTTTTAATGAAATTAATGAAGTGTGTTATTGATCAAAAATAAATAAAACAAGATAAAATTACATATGTGCCCCTGTGGCACTAAACTAAAGAGAAGGCTAACATATTCAACACTCTCAAAGGAAAAATCCCAACCATTGATGTGCTGAGAATGAAAAGTATGGTCATTGTCAACCAATGCTCCCTTTATGGGATGGTTGAGGAAAGCATCCAACATACCCTAGTAAATTACAGCTATTTTTTATCAATAATTGCATCATTTCAATTCATTAATGGATCAAAAAGTGTGCAATAAATAAGAATTACAAGAGAAAAAAGTGTCAGTCAATGAGAGTGCCCAGAATCCTAGTATAGCTTCTCTTATGGCTTATGGTCCCATGTTTTGCAACCTAACCAACGCTATCACAGACTCAAGAGAAAGGGTTGATGCAATGCCAAGTTTGGAATGGGCCCATAACCTATCTTGGGGGTTGGAATTTTAATGGGGAGGCTCATCTTAGAAACCAAAGATGCCAATGAGCTTCTAACGGACAATTCTGATTGGAACCAACACCAGCAAACTAGGATACAATAGTTGATTATCTATTACTCCTAACTCTGGATCAACCCATCTCAGGCCAAAAGGACCCCTGGCTTTTCCTCCTAAAACTCCTAAAACTTAGAGGGTGACCACTCAAATTCAACGTGGTTTAATCATGAGAATGGGCCCAACATAATGTTGTTTATTGCTAATGGAACCTAGGCATCACAATCTACAATAAGAATACCCAAATTCAAAGGAATCTAGGGAATGATGTTAAATAGTTTTGTATGCCCTTAGCTTCAATCAGAATGATGTACTTTATGAGTTTATTGTAAATGAATAAAAGTACATATTTGATTCATGTTCCCTTGGTATATTTCTATGTAATACCCTTAAACTGGACACTTGATGAGACTCGTGTTAGTTTAGAATGTTCACAGCCAGTGGATCGGTCTGTGGAGACCTATCCTGACAAGGCTGACACTGTAGTGCCACCAAGTCGGTTGGGGTGGCCTGTCTCAGCTACCAGGGTGATACCCTAGGCACATACGGTGTAGGATTAATAGAACCTTTGAACCGGACCAGATTTCCAGTATTGCCCTGGACCTTAGAGATAGATGGGCAAAACTGGAAAGTTACACATAACCCCTAGACTCGATTATGATACTACACTAAATGTCGGATTGGGCTGTCTTTGATATACCAATCAGTGAGATCCTTAGCAAGGGTCAAAACCTGGGTATGTTGGGACAATCCGAGAATTCATCTGACTGAGTGATCATAGTGAAAGGATCAACCCCTTTGTCAGACAAAGGTAATGATCGGGGATGCACTCTCTCTGATGGAAACCAAGACTGCCAACAGCTGATTTCAACCGTTGAGATTTGTTTTTGCAAAGTATATTTTATATGAGATATAAAAGTATATATTATGGTTTCTAAAATGTTTGCAAA